TGTAAATTGTAACTTTTTTGTAATATTTTTTTGAAGAGCATATTAATAAATAGATGAATTAGATTACAAGCATTTCAAAGTTATTTAATTTTTGTAATTATGTATGTATGTGTGTGTGTGTGCTACGTATCTCAGCCTGTTGATTGACATCGACGGTATAAGACCCCTCAAATCGGGGGTTTGAATCATCTCTGACACAATTAGCCTTAAGGAGACGGTACTCAAATGGAGGACCCGACCCACAAGCAAATATTCATGAAGATGCCCTCCATACTTTGTGTCCAATATTTACATTTTTTAATGGATGATTGATTCCGTGGTGTTATTGTCTGTTGGCTTGTTTTTTTTTTCATTTTTTTAAAGGATTATTTGATTTAGATGTTTTCGCTTTCTTACACAAACAATCAAGATGTTGCTCTGTAATTATTTATGTTCCGTAATAATTAATCTTTAGTTTTTAGATGTTCTTTTAAATGTTGTTTGATTCATTCTTATTACTTATCCATAAAACTTTTCTAGGATGGATTGGCAGTTGTTGCGTCCTATAAGAATAACTACGGCGACTACGATTACCTTATACAAATACTACAACTTTTTTGTCGATCAAATTCATGCTTGACATCGACCTATAATGTTGATAAATGGTTTGGCGAAGTACTACAAGAGCACCCCACACGGTTTAGTAATATGTTCCATATGACAAAACTCATATTTTTTTATCTGCTCGACGAACTACCGTCATGGACTCTACGACTCCTCAAGAATGACAATGAGGAGGTGTTAGCAATAACCCTCTTTATTTTTTCACATAATGAATCAATGAGAGGAGTGATGGAGCGATTCCAACATTCATTGGAGACAATCAGCATGTATTTCTCGGTGTGTTTAAAAGCTTGTCAGTTTGACAGCAAAGATAATTAAGCCATAGGATCCAATATTTGAGACGACTCCAACAAATATTGCAAATGGCTTGCAGTATATGTCATTTATTTAATGTAATATTTTTTAACAAATGAAATTCAGACGTCAAAATAAGTTGCATGGCAATCACAACTTTAACTAATCTGACATAACTGTATTGGATCAATTGATGGAGGCACGAGTATCCAGTGAGAAGGTCACATAAATTGGACGGTGTGAATCACCCGCAAAAAATGTGATAGTCGTCTATGACTTCAACATATGTTTTACTTTTGTAATGACTGGTTGGGAATGCAGTGCACACAATAATCATATTTTTTGCTTTTGCGGCAAGAAATCGAAGACACAGCTTCTCGCACCCAACTCCAAGTTTGTAAATATATCAACCACGTTTGATTTTTTTTAGTTTATTACTTATTAAGGTATTTGGGAAGGTAAATATTACTTGGTTGATGTTGTATATATCCTTTACAGAGGGTGTATCTAAAGTCATATCAAGATACGAAGTGTCACATTCCTGATTTCGAAAGATCCAGCAGCGTTGCTCGCGGCAGGAAAAAAATGTATAACATAAGGCAATCCTCCTTACACGATATAATTGAAAGAATGATTGGACTGTGGAAGAAGAAATGGGGCATACTACGTGATATGATGACTTACCCATTTCCAAAACAAGTGCAGATTGTAGTGGCCACGATGACGCTCTACAACTACATTCGGCTGCATCATCCTAGGTCGGAAGTAAAATTAACCCTGATTGACGATGATCACATGCAGGTCCTGATGGAAGCATTTGGATTTCACTTGGGACAATCTATCCCACAGTAAGAAGTGGAATCACATGAAGCTTACACCTAGGATGGCGAAGATGACACGAAAATAACTAAATTGAGAGAGTGGATAACAGACACGGCATTGTTTGATGTTGACCAGACATCTCTTGTTTATTTTATAAACTCTGTATATTTTATGTCACGTGTATTATGGATATTTTTGGTTTTGCAATTTTTGCGTGTTTTACATTGTTTCTTTTCTATTTGAGTTTTATTTATTTGTTGGGGGGAGGGGGGCTTGTGAGGTCCATGATGGGACTTTTGACTTTGTGGGTTCTTCTGGATGACCTATTGGTCACTGTTGGTTAGTGTTACATGTGAAATCCTAAAGAAGTCATCCATATTCATCTTTTATTTTCGGTGCATAGGTTTAGGAGATTCTTTAGGATGAACTTTTTGGTGATATGCACATGTGACGCACAAGAGGTTTGTTTTACGTGGGTTAAAGGCAACCAAGAACTCATTTTTTTTACAAGATCATTTTCTTCTTTTAGTGACAACTTTTTTTAGTTGGTGTAGTGAATTCTCTAAGCCCTCACGTCTGCTTTTTTTTTATCAATTTATGCTTGTTTGTTAAATACAATTTTCATTTATTTTCATTTCCTTCTATATTTTTTTTTGATGTCATCTTATGTTATGACTGATGGGTTCTCTCTTGAACTTTGAAGGAAGATGAGCTCCAGGATTTCAGGGACCTCCCAATGAGTGTTCTGCCACTGCAGACTATAAACTTCACTACTGACGTCACGTCGGGCACATAGATTTGTGAGAAAGTTATACAGGTGTCTGCGACGGGCAGACAGTCTGGAGAAGTGTGACTTCTTTCGGTGGGCAGACAATCCAACAGAATCCACTGCTGATAGTGATCGGCATGCATGTATCCTCGGAGGACGACGTAGTTCGTGACATACATCATCTAGATTTTAAAATTAATATTATTACATTTTTAATTATAATTCTATTATTTATTTCTTTTTTTTAGTACACTTGATATTCACTGTTATGTGAGTTGTGCATCTTATTTTTTTTACTGTTCTGAAGTGATTTTTTATTTCTCAAGTATCAAATATATCACTATGACAGTTTTGTTGCAAACAACAATACTACACATGGGCAGAATGATCATTTAGACAGAAAGAGCTGCAAATCAATTGATTTTCAAACACACAAATCAAACAGTCAGCTAGATTATCCAGATCAGCTGCTGATCAACAACTTATCTGGATCAATTGCTCATTAGCATATTATTGATAAGCTACAACTACCCCAAACAGAGCCTAAGAAAAGCATCAAAATCAACATTTACAATTACATATCTAAGCACTCTATGAGGCCTAATTATGTTCGTAGGAAAAGATTACCAAATGTTTGGATCCTTGTTGTCTTTGAAGATGAAAATTATCTATCATTTAAGAAATAGTTTAGTATAGCAGCAGAAGTTTCACAATTGGTGTCAATGATTTTGCTTAATTCAGAATTGAATTGATATAAAGGTTAATATTATAATAGCGCATTTACATACATACCACTCAATTCTTATGTATTTACATATCTAACACCAAAAACTGTTATATGAAAGATTTGAGTGGTACAAATGTAAAATGGTGTTAGATATGTATATACATATCTAACACCATTTTACATTTGTACCACTCAAATCTTTCATATAACAGTTTTTGGTGTTAGATATGTAAATACATAAGAATTGAGTGGTATGTATGTAAATGCGCTATTATAATATTAACCTTTATATCAATTCAATTCTGAATTAAGCAAAATCATTGACACCAATTGTGAAACTTCTGCTGCTATACTAAACTATTTCTTAAATGATAGATAATTTTCCTCTTCAAAGACAACAAGGATCCAAACATTTGGTAATCTTTTCCTACGAACATAATTAGGCCTCATAGAGTGCTTAGATATGTAATTGTAAATGTTGATTTTGATGCTTTTCTTAGGCTCTGTTTGGAGTAGTTGTAGCTTATCAATAATCTGCTAATGAGCAATTGGTCCAGATAAGCTGTTGATTAGCAGCCGATCTGGATAAGCTAACTGGCTGTTTGGTTTGTGTGTTTGGAAAGCAATTGATTTGCAGCTCTTTCTGTCTAAATGATCATTCTGCCCATGTGCAGTATTGTTATTTATAACAAAACTGTCATAGTGATACATTTGATACTTAAGAAGCAAAAAACCACTTGCACAACTCACATAACAGTGAATATCAAGTGTGCTAAAAAAAGAAAATAAATAATAGAATTATAATTAAAAATGTGATAATATTAATTTTAAAATCTAGACGATGTATGTCACGAGCTACGTCATCTTTCGAGGATACATCCAACCCCGATCACTATCGACAGTGAAATCTGTTGGACTGTCTGCCCATTGAAAGAAGTCACACTTCTCCAGACTGTCTGCCAGTCGCATGCACCTGTACAACTCTCTCACAAAGTATGTGCCCGACGTGATGTCAATTCTTATGTATTTACATATCTAACACCAAAAACTGTTATATGAAAGATTTGAGTGGTACAAATGTAAAATGGTGTTAGATATGTATATACATATCTAACACCATTTTACATTTGTACCACTCAAATCTTTCAAATAACAGTTTTTGGTGTTGCATATGTAAATACATAAGAATTGAGAGGTATGTATGTAGATCTTTCTATCATAATTGAAAAAAAAAAAATGTACAGATGATGCTTCTGATATTTTCCATTCTCTCAAGTCTAATCTGGCAACTACTGATAGTTTTGAATGAGTTCCTCATTTTGTTCTGAATTCACAGCACTATGATTAATGAATACAATGTGATTTAGAACTAATTCCTTACCTTCTCTTTTCTGGACTCAAGTCACTTAACAATTAAAGCATATTTAGATTAGGATTTGATAACCATATCTTTGATTTTTTTACAAACAGAACCCTCAAATCTTTGATTTCACATAAAAAATGTCACTCTTTAACTCTTTAAAAGTTAAATACACATTTTCATGCGTAAATTTTTTAAGTACCAACTATCAAACTTATAAGGGTCGGATACGTAAATGTGAAAGAATTGTGGTATGTGTGTATGTAAATTTTCCAGAAAATAAGAAAAAAAAAAGTCTTTCTAGTTTTGTAGTAGTAACTAATGGATTCATCACTGCTACTGAATCTTGCAAAAGTAAAGATGGGACATATCTAAAGTTGTTATAGTCCCATTATTTTCTATTCATGAAAAAATATAATTAGAAATAAACAAAACTAAACTATATTCTGTCTCACCCTTTCAGCTGCAACACATCATGATGTTCCACAGCCAAATTGAGGAAAAAAAGATGAAATTAATTGAATTTTGTGAATATACAATGCTTCTTACTATATCAAAGAGCTAAGACTAGCAGATAATAAATATTCTGCAAATATTAATTTTTGTAGTTTCAGTATGGTGATGAGCTTGGAGATGAAGATGACCTCATGAGTTCATGACCAAGTTCGTTTATTTTGTTGAGCAGCAATGTCTTCTCCCTTTCAAGGGAAACAATATATCCTTCCTGCGCGTCTTGTGCGCTTTTCAGTGCATTTATAGATAAGGATAAACTTTCTGTATCACCTTCATGTACCAGTCCTTCAAGCTTCTTTAGCATCTCCCTCATCTGTGACACATTTAAAGATAAAAATAACCAGGGTTAGTTGAGAGGTTTAAGCATCTATCAGTCATAGTTTCCCTTAAAACAGAACGGTAGGTTTTCTTTGCAAAATATGGAGATCATGTATATAAATAGAAAATTAGAGGTTTTGTATGACAGCTAAGGATAGTCCCACATCTTGGACTTGGAAAGAGCTCCATGCAGGTAGGTATATACTAATTATTGAGAAGAATCAGCATTGGAGGGCGCTCTTAATGTTTAAGTCACTTTATACAAAACATTGGACATAATTTGTTTAATTTATTTTTCTAAACATGAATTTAAAGTTCATTCATTCTGATTTCTAATCCACAAAAACTGGCAAAGGACAAAGCTCCATAAAACAACAAATCTGTCCTTGTTTAAATAGAAAAATAGCTTAGTCCCTAATTCTAATGCTACAACAACAATGCCTTAATCCCACTACGTGGGGTCAGCTACATGAATCCTTTTCCTCCATTGCGTCCTATTTAGTGTCAAATTTTCATGTAGTTCTAATAAATTAAGATCATTTTTTATACAATAAGCCCAAGTCTTCCTAGGTTTACTTCTGCCTTTCTTAACAGAAGTTGAATCTAAAACATCTCTCCTAATTGAACATCAGATGGTCGACGCTTAATGTGACCAAACCATCTAAGACGACTTTCTCTAATTTTTTCTGTCACAGGAGCTACACCAACCCCATCACGGATATATTCATTTCGCATTTTCTCTCTAATTGTAAAGCCACTCATCCACCTAATCATTCTCATCTTGGCAACACTTAACTTAGTATTAGGGTTCTCTTTTAAAGGCCAACATTCAGCACCATAGAGCTTGTAGGTCTCGACACCGACTTAAAAAATTTTCCTTTCAGTCTAAGTGATACTTTCTATCACACAAAAGGCTCGAAGCATTCCTCCACTCAACCAACCAACTTGAAACCAACCAACTACACCCCTATCTAAATCACCATAGCTTTGAACAACAGACTCGAGATATCTAAATCGTTCACACCTTTTAATAAGATATCTAAATCGTTTCGTTCACACCTTTTAATAATTTGATCACCCAAAGTTACACTTCTGTCACTAGCAACTACTACTAAAATTACATTTCATGTATTCAGTTTTAGTTATACTCAAATGAAGGCCTTTAGACTTCAATGTAGACCTCCATAATTCAAGTTTTTTCTAGGCTTTTTCTCTCGTCTTATCGGAAGGATATCATCAGCAAAAAGCATAGACCAAGGTACATCCTCCTGTAAATGTCCAGTAAGACCATCCATAACTAAAGCAAAAAGATAAGGACTTAAAGCCGATCCCTGATGTAATCCAACAGAAATAGGAAAATATTTGGTCAATCCTCCTTTAGTTCGAACATAAGTAACTACTTTAGTATACATATCTTTAATTACTTGAATATAAGTCATATCAACACCTTTCTTCTCAAGAACTCTCCAACGGATTTTACTCTGATTCTAATACTAAAATAAATAATTTCTTTATATTACTCTCTTCGATAAACTTGGATGAGAATTTGTAAATAAATGCTTTAAGATTTTGTTGTGTAAAATTTAAGTGTTGTTCATTCATCATAAATATGATTTGTGGATAAACCTTCAAAACACCCCAAAAAAGTGGCGGGGAATATCAACTCGAAGGAAGTATATGTCCACGGAGGCACGGTCGTATAACAGAATGGTACTTACGTTAGAAATGCTTTACTTCTGAATTAACTTTAGTTTTTGTATTTAGTGGCACTTTTGATGCTTTGGAAGCTATTAAGATAAAAGAGAAGAATAAACAAAAATACTGATATTAGTTCAAGGTAGTAAATGCAATTTAGAGTTTATGTCCAACCGCATGATAATTCTAGGCTGAGCCATGACAAAAAAAATCAAAGCTATACAATTGTAATATGAGAAAGTATTGATACGCCATCAACCTATTTTCATCATTCGGCTCAAATCTTGAGGCATGAAACGAATCTTGAGGTAATTTTTTGACCAAAAAAATGTTCAAACTCCAATTAAAAATCATCAAAAACTTGGATTTCAACAAACTTATAGTCAAACTATCTGACCCAACGAGACAGACCCAATGACACCAAAATTGACCAAATCTGAGTCAAATCAAGCACACATCAAGCCATTAAATCATTTATGAAATCTTCTAGTGCCCAATTAAAAGGTTAAGCGAATTCCAAGTCTGACAAGCTTATAGTCAAATTGAGGATATTGGCGAGACAAGTCCGACGAGACCAAGATCACTCAATTTTGACATCATTAAGACTCTTAAATGTCCAAAAAACGTCGTCCAAATATGGAACCTCTCCAAGCCATCCAATTCCAATAGAGTAATATGTGATCCTTCATTATTTGCAAGATAGGCACTCCCAGACTTTATAAATAGAGTTATACCCCCTTCATGAAGATGAACCTAGACCGGGAACAGGAGGAAGACTTGAGTTTGGAGGATCATGAGCTGAATTCCAACGACATTTCTGCACCGAAGTTCAGGCTAATACTTTCAGCTCTCGCAATCGCCGACCACCATCATCCGCTACTTGTCGGTCGTCGTCATGGACCACCGTAAGCTGCCCCTTGCTCGTTGCAGTGAAGCTTCGTGTAGAGTCAAGATGTACGTTATGGAGTAATGAAACACTGTGCCAAATAACGACCAACTTCATGGAGGGTCGAAGCATCCAACTTAGTAGTGCATCGTCCTGAGCATAGTGTAGTGACGCCCCTCAAAGACAGCTCCAAAAACTATTCTCAACTACAACCGCTCCCAACCACCATACAACAATTCCTTCGGCAAACAAATATTGAACATCGAGAAACTGTATAACGCTTTGTCATATGTGGACAAGGGTCCAGATATGTAATCACCAACTCAAAGTGAATCATGTCATCTACGTTAGGCCCCATGGTTTTTTTCCTTTATGGAGTTTTTCACGTAAAAAAATATTGTCTATTTCTATTATCTAAGCATGTGTTGGACCTTCATGCAAAGCTAAGGCACAAAATAATTACTCTTTCGTCGTGAATCTTTCAACACACATCAATTTAGTTTCATATGTGGGAAAGAGAATTCCACAACTAAAGGACTTGTGGAGCTTGTTGAATGATCACCAGACGCAACACTCGCAATAACAGAGCATCCCGCTCTAAGTGCACTCACCATTCCATAAGACAAACACGAAACAAAGCACGTCAAGCCTCTGCCTCCACCTCTTCCCACCCTGGAAGACATTATCATGCAAGCGAAGGAGCCTCGGGTCCATCTCTGGAGGATTAAATGTTTTCATATGGACGAGTCTCAATATGAGATCCTTTAGCTTCTGCATGAGGCTCGACAGTCGATGCTTCTACTACCAAATGGAACATACTTACCACCAATTAAACAACTAGTAGGAAATGCCCTACTCGAGCATTTTCATACCGAGCCCCTCCCCATGATGGAAACTTAACTTTGCTATGTCGGAGAGCTTCACTCAAGATCTTTCTACTCATCGTTGATGCGAGAGACAATCTGCTCTTATGCTGACCTCATTCATCGTGTCAAGCTCAAATCACTGCAGACGATGTCATCAACACACATAAGGAGCAGTTCAAGTGATTTGGGGCCAAGCATAATAATAACCCAATGGATACTAATCAAGCCACACAACAAAAGAAGTCTAAACATCAAGGGAATCGTGATCTCCCTCCCTGACCTACAAACCAGTGACGCAAGCCTCGAACACAAGAATATACGTTGCTCAACACATCGCTTGTCAATATTTAATGACCATCAAATATGAGAAGAACTTGGAGAATCAGGAGACTTGTCAATATTTAATCACCATCAAATATGAGAAGAACTTGGAGAATCAGGAGCAATATTGTCAATTCTACCGGAGACGTGGTCACACCACCAAAGCATATGTAAGTAGATTATGGAAAAAATTGAGATACTGATTCGATAAGGGCACTTGAACCAGTTTGTGCAAGAAATGCTTGCCTCTAAGGACAACGCCCCTGCTCCCACTAGTAGGGGGCGACTGATGTAGAAACAACAACATGGGAGTCATCAAATCGTTAGCAAAATTCAAACAATCAATTTAGGCCCATCGATGTTTGACCAAGTATTCATCACCACAATTGAAGAATTGTGCAAAAGAAACAACGCTTCAAGCCCATCACTTTCGAGGATTCTGACCTAAAGGGAGCCCAAGTCCCCCACCAAGACCCTATCGTCGTCGTTAGTGCAAGAATTGGCGAACCTTATTATAATGTGAAGAGACTCTGAGTGACAACAACTCAGCTGATCTTATTCTACACAACCTTCCTCGGTCTGGGAATGACAATGGAGAAAATTCAACCCATATCTAAGGCATTATGTGGGTTCGATAATCAACCAGTAAAATTTGAATGAACAATCTTCCCGTCGTAATGGGAGAATTTTCCGAACAGATGACTCACTCCAAACAATTCATCTTCGTCAAGTCGAAATCGACACACAACACCAACATCAAGAGGCCCCTTATAGTCCATCTTCGACATCGTCACTTCTGCCACACCTCAAGCTGAAGTTCTCAACTCAGGACAAGATCGATGTCGTGCACTAAAATCAACATATAGCACAATCGCGCTACCTTTGGCAAGCCCAACCGCAATCATCAGTCACGCTTAGCATCGGAAACTTCAATATCTGGGATGGGGACGTATCCCATCAAGCTTCTCCCGTAGAAGACTTGATCCATGTTCCACTCTCGGGTGATCATCCCTCACAACGGTGGACCTCAGTTCCTTACTCTTTGATTAGCAATGGTCGGACTTCAAAGGAGTTGGGACATCTTCGCTTGAACCCCGAGTAATACGCCTGGATTAAAACCATATCATGCACTCCTTAAAAATAGCTCCGACATTCAAACCAGTCATTCAAAAGAAGCGAAATTTCACTTCAGACTGCCCGCAAGCAATCGAACAAGAAGTCGATAAG